GCGTTTGTCCTCGAAACAGATACACGAATGCCCGTAAGCATGTTGTAGGCCGTTACCCAGTTGGCGTGGCTCTCGTCGACCTTGGTGCCCACCAAAACGCGGTCATCGTCCTCCTCCTCCTTCCGCTTCTTCTTGCTGGCGCGCTTCTGTCGATATACTTCGGCCCATCGCTGGGCATCTTCGTCGTGCACAATCTCGTCCCGGGGAGCGTCTGACTGCATGGATCTCGTCGTCCTGCGAGCCAGGCTGAAGGAGGCGGCACGACCGCCTGAAGGGCTGGCGACGGTGGGCGAGAAGCGTCCGCTGGCCTGGGCGGTGTCGAGTTCCCTCGAGTTTCTACCCGACGGCGGCTTTGGTACCTCGAGCGTGTGTCTCTGTTTGATGCCCATGCCGGGCCCCGGGGGTTGCAAATGTGCAGATAGAGAGGGTGCCGAGTTGGAGCCGCTGGGCTGGTAAGAAGCGGGAGACGAGAAGCGCTGGGGGTTGACGCTGCTGCTATTGAAGTTAACGTTACCGTTGGACTGCTGCGGTAGGGCCGGGTCGGAGGCCATGGGCGATGCAGGCGTCAGGGACGGCGTCCAAGGCTGGGGCGGGCTGTGCGAGTCGGTGTCTGTGGGGGGCGGCGTCGGGCGTCCCAGAGAGCCAGAGGCAGAGACGCCGTCGTGGGTGCTCCTCTGACCCGGAGCCTTGTAGTTGCGGTTCTGATTGTGTTCGTCGTTGTCGTTCTGGCTCTGGTTCTGGTTCTGGCCGGCGGACGTCGTCTGCATGCGAGATTGGTCGGCCGAGCGCTGGCAAGGGGAGACGGCGGCGCCATTGGTCAGGGCGCGGTCGACATCGTGCACGTCCAAGGCCACGTCGTGAGCACCGTAGCCGCCGGGCAGGCTCTTGCCGTTGGAGAGCGAGCTCATGCTGGTCGGACGTGTCTCGTTTGCGCTGGCGTCGTCGTGCCACTGGTCGAGGTCGCCCAAGGGCACAGGCGAGTCCGAAAGGTCCGAGTCGCGCGTGGACAGTGTCGAGCTCTCGTCGAAGCGCTCATGGACGGCGTAGGACCGGGCGTCGGTTATGGAAGCCTCATTCGCCTGGTCCTTTGCGCTGAAGTGGTGGTCGAGGTTGATGACGGAGCCGTTGCCGCTGGGGAAGACTGTCGGGTGGTCTTGGGTCAGGAACGAGGGCATTTCGCTGCGACGGGCGGACGCGAGCGAGCGACAACGGCGGCG